CCGGCTGTACTCTTCTCAGTTTACGCCCCTTGGAAGCTCTGGCCTACCAGAAAGTGATATCTGAACTCAGTATAGATCTTACCCATCTAGCAAACAAACATGAGCTCCATATAGTAAAGTTATGGGCCAAAATGTGGGCCCCCTGCAGTTTGGTCTACACTGGAAAGGGTGCCTTCGAAGTTCGCCCAAATGGAAAAATATAGAACCTTTAATTTTAAAAGGATATATTTGTGTCCCTTAATGTTTGCATTATAGTTTTGATTGGAACCCATATGGGTATGCCCAAATTAATTCATGGGCCCATTGTAAACTATATTTGGGTATTTTAAGGGTTGAATAGGGGTTGAAACGTAAGGGTACCCTACAAATTGGCTCATACGAGAAAGAGCTGCTTTGCTCCCTAAATCCATAAGGGTCTGAAAAATTCGCAGCTCCTTCTTGTGTAAAATAATAATGGATCTAATCGACTTCTGTAGACAAAAATACACTGAGTTCAAGATATACAAACCATAATTTCTTTAAATTAAAGAACACCAACTGGAGAAGACAAAAGATTTCATCAGCCTTGTCTTCATCCTTTAAATTTCCTGCACTCGATTTAGCAGTTTCCTCACCTCAGGAGTTGTCAATCACCTTCTTCGATTTTTTCTGTACCCAAAATACCCAAATGTGTGGTCATTGCCAGTGCTCACAAAGAAAGGTATGAGGGTATTTGTGAAATCTTCTGTGAGCACCGACCATGTCTTTGGATTTGGGAAAAATATTTGGTGTGTATATTGTTATGTGTAGATATCTTGCTGCCCATTGATCACGCACATCATCCTTAATACTGTAGAAAGGAAATACCTGTCATAATAAGTTTGATGGGCCATGCAAGAGCGTGGCATGAGTTTATATAAGATGGTGCATATTTATTCTTTTTTTAAGTAGTCACTCCAGTGGTACTCTGAGCCATCTCTCATTTTAGCCATATCAACGACTGATAGAGTATGAAATTTTCAACAGTATCCAAGCCCAAAGACATTCAAATGAAGTGTGGTTTATTCTGAAAACAAGGTAAAACTGCAGAAGCTTGATAGATCAAAATTGGTTAAAAAAACAAATTTGGTGACATCGTTTACTGTGAAGGTGAGAACCTGAGCACTGGTGTGGCAAGCAGAGATTATGGATTCAGAGTCAGATACAATGCTGCTCTCAGCCTATGCCAATTGATAACAGAGATACATTGAAGAAGTTGTACTAGACAGACGTGTATCCAAGTTAGGACGTATCAATTCTTCTAGGTGATCTACTGATGTGATGCTCTCTGAAGCGAGGGAGCATTTACTGTACGTGAAACTGAGGGTAAAAGTCTGGTGTTAAAGGACAAAGTCAAAGTCACACATTGTAAAATGAGACTTTTTGACCATTGAGAGCCAAGGTTTGTAACCTGTTACCTTCTGAGATGCACTTAGTGTAGTTTTTACTTGCATAAAGTTTGAAAATTTGACACTTGGGAGCTGAAAATCAACAGTATGGATTTGAAGGTCAAATATAAACTAATTGGACATCAATATGAATTCCTGGATATCTACTATACAGTACATTGGAACTAACTGGAATGTTATAGCCAATGTACAGTAACTAGCTAAAAGCTTGACCTCTGAGATGACCTCTGTATAATTAATTGTAGTTTTACTGTCCATCAGTCAATTCAGCATGATAAGAGCTTTCATGCAATCCTTTTATAAGGCACTATGACGAATTTACAAAAAAAGCGGTTTTTGACAAAAAAAATTGGTGGTCATCTTAGATTTGAAGGTCAAAACTAGGTTGAATCTTCAATCCGACATCAAAAATGAAATCCTGGACCCCTGAAACCCCTAAATCCATGCACTAAAGCATGTAGGCCAAAACACTGAAATAATAAATTTCAAAATGGCGGAAGGCGGCCATATTTGATTTAGGGCTCCCACAGGTTATGCCCACACTTTCGCGAGGGACACCCAAGCTATTTTTGTTATTATACCCTCAAGGAAGACAAATCCACTGAAAAACTAAGTTAGCCTCTCCACGGTCACGGAATTGTACATAATCACTGACATTTCTTAAATTTTATTCATCATCGACCATGGATAAGTGAGCAATATTGTAGTAAATTGAGACTGGCTACATTGGGTTTCTGTGTCCACTTTAGGCCTAGGCTGGTTTCTACTTTGGAGGAGCAAAATGCTCACCTGCACTAAATTGGTGTAGGTTGGTTTAGACACATCAGTTTGTAACAAGTAACTAGGTCTTTGATATGAGCTAACACCATGTTTTCTCCAACGCTTACGCTCCTTGTTTAGACCACCCGTGGCCATGCCATTGTTAGATAACAGTAGGTGTACACCTGTAGTGGTTGCTTGGTAAGTATCGCGTACCATTTCTTCAGTGTGGCCTAGAGGAGTTGTCATATTCCACTATAAAATTCACACAAAAATACATATCTAAGTATTCAAAACAAACAACCAAAATGTCACTGGAATACACAAAATATCCAATATTAAACACAGATTGAATAAACAAATCCCTTACTGGTCAGAAAGTGCTAAAAATTAGCGCTGGCAGATATAGTGTGGTCCCTAGTGTCATTTCGCAAGATAGGCTTGCCCAAAGCAATTTTATTGCATTTTCCGGATATTTTGGGTATGCTGAATCCAAAAATGCAAGGGTCCATTTTTTTTGATAACGTCTTGGCCGCCATATTGGAATTTCAAAATGGCTGCCATTTTAACAATAAAAATGACTATAACTCTACTATTAAAGCAGATATTGACATAATTTCAAGTGCTACCCTATGTTTTAAATGTCAACCTATTTGATTTTAATATTGTCATAGACCATAGATGGCGGCCATTTTGAATTTCAAGATGGCCGACCGTTTTTCAACAAAATCTTTCTGGAAAACAGATATTTCAATTATCATGGTGTTTACAACAATATAAATTACAGTGCATGCCTCAACCCTGTGCCTACATAGCCAATTACACACAGGGCGTTTATGGGCGAATCCATTTTGTGCTCAAGTGGTATGTTTAAAATAAATAAATATAAATAAATTCAGGAAGAAATCACAAACCTTACAGAAAGGCAGTATATCAACAAATGAACTATAAAATATACACAAATACATATACATGTGACTTAAACTTGCCTGTATAGTAAACCCGATAACGAACGCAGGGCATGTATGGGTGATTCCATTTTTCCTTGAGGGGTAAGTTTAAAATATATGAATATGCATGATACTTAAGCTTATAGAGCACACAATTAGGCGTCCAGGATGAGTTTAACCGCTACCAATGTAGAAACAGCGTCTTTGTTACTGGGTACACACATGCACCCTGTTAGGCAGTTTGTTCCACCTCAGGATATACAGTACCTTATGCTACTCATATTTTACGAAGTTTGGTGAATTTTATAAGTATTTTATAGGCATCAAGCTAATGTAATATGATTTCATATTAGTTGTATTTCCAGTGGCGGATCTAGGAATTCGAAATAGAAGGGCCCAGGGAGGGTAATTTCACAGATAGAAGATCTATACTACCTCAGCCCTACAATGGTTGGAGCTGAGATAAGAAAATTTGTGATTGTGGCACCTCCAGATGGCCAGAAATTGCACTTCCAAACATAAAATTTGAATCTTTATAGCTCAATTTTATATTGAACAATTTAGCAGGGTGGGGCGGGCCGGCTGGGTCCCCTTGAGTCCGCCACTGGGTACTTCAGCAGATGGAGGATCTATACCACCTCAGCCCCGCCATGGTTGGGCTGAAGTAAGAAAATTTGTGATTATGGCACCTTTGGATGGCCGGAAATTATACTCTTAGTCTTCAAATTTGAATATAATTTTCTTATATCTCCATTAAAAAAAAAAGAACAATTTAGCCTCCCCTTGAATGCGCCACAGATTTCTGAACAAAGTCGAAGTTGAGATTGCTTCCACGACCTCAATAAATTATTTATTATGAGGGTTATCCTTGATATGGGTTCCCCGACAGAAACTTCACTTTTCCCCCAATGGATAAAAATTACACTTGTATGTAGCTCAGAAATGAGTCGAACATAGAAATAGAGTTGTTCCAAGGAGAGTCTTGCGTAAATAAAATGTCCACCCGCCTCAGCCCCACAACTGTTGGAAAATTATGATTATGGCACATCTAGATGGCCGGAAATGGCACTCTTAGATTAAAAGTTGAATACAATTTTGTCTGTTTTCTCCATTTTTTTTTTTGTTTTTTTTTGATAATTTTGAAAAAAAAAGGGATGGGGTCCAGTGCTGACTGGGTTTCCCATTGAATCTGCCACTGTTCAATATAACACTTGACATAGCCTACATTTTGTTTCACAAAATGATTAATTCCTAATGTCAAGGGAAAGATTTTTTTATTTAAAATATTTTCTTTTTACTCAATACAGTTTTTACAACCTATAACCATTAACTACAGTGTACCGTACTGTAAAATCTGTACTGGTACTTAACCTTCAGACAACTTTATTTTTCAAAAGTGGCCTAATAAGTATCTTATTGTTTTCGTTAAATTAGAGTTTAAATGTGGTTATATAATGCTAGTTTAAAGGTTTACTGTAAGCCAGTCAGTTACACTTACTATACATCTTCGTGGTCAGCATAAAGAGAACTAGAACGTCGCTTCATTAAGAGTGCCTACCTCCCCCTATATGCCTAAATACAGAATTTACGAATGCAGGCGATTTTTTCTGCATGCACGAGGGTGGGTTTCAAGGAAACTTTACAGACGCACATATACAGACGTCAATCACACATTTGGTTGCTCAACTCAAAAAAGAACTTGTAGTGTTCGTTAGAAAATTTTAAAAAAATCTATATTTTATAATAATTATAATAATAATAATAATAGGTCAATTTATAAGGTGCAAATAAACAAGGTGTAAGCACGAAATAACAATAATAATAATAATAATAATAATAATAATGACATTGCAGCGTTCGTAAAATGTTTGTCACTGGTGCTGGTAACAGTCACAAAAGGGGGGGGGGGCCAGTAGAAAAAGTGGGTGGGCTAATGGCCCTTCTGGCCCCCCGCTTTCGCCGCCGTTGGGAAAAACCAATGAAATGGTGATACAGTAGTTCTGGAAGATTATTCTCATTGTTTACTTCTATTCAGCGTCTTCCGCATCATCCCGTATCAACTACTGTATCACCATTTTATTGGTTTTTCCCTTCTGTTATACAATAATGATACTCGTTTACTACACTTCCAGTTAAACTCCCTCATTCCTTGTTTGTATACTTTAATTGGCGCCGTTCTTCTTGCAGTGCACAGTAGTGCAGCCGCATAAGGTTGGAGTTTAGATGCTTGGTGGTTAAGATGCTTGATTTCCAATCCCAGAGTCCTGGGTTCAATTCCTGTCAGTGTTGCAGGATTTTTTCCCACGACCAAAAACTCCACTCCCTAAATTTCCAATCCCTATATCCCGAGGTGGAACATACGACCTAACAGGGTGCCTGTGTGTACCCAGATGTAACAAAAACGCTGTTTCTACATTGGTGGTGGTTAAACTCATCCTGGATGCCTAATAGTGTGCTTTAAGTATCATGCATATATTTATATATTTTAAACCCCTGAAGGTTAAATGGAATCGCCCATACATGCCCTGCGTGTGTTAACGGGTATATCGAGCAGGTAAGTTTAAGTCACATGTATATGTATTTGTGTATATTTTATAGTTCATTTGTTGATAGACAGCCTTTCTGTAAGGTTTGTAATTTCTTCCTGAATTTATTTATATTTATTTTTTTTAAACATACCCCTTGAGCACAAAATAAATTCGCCCATAAACGCCCTGTGTGTAATCATGGAGGAAATATATTCCTCCATGGTGTAATTGGCTATGTAGGCACAGGGTTGAGGCATGCACAGTAATTTATATTGTTGTAAGCACCATGATAATTGAAATAACTGTTTTCCAGGAAGATTTTGTTGAAAAACGGTCGGCCATCTTGAAATTCAAAATGGCCGCTATCTATGGTCTATGACAATATTACAATCAAATAGATTGAAAACATAGGGTTAACACTTGAAATTAAGTCAATATCTGCTTTAATAGTAGAGTTATGGTCATTTCTATGGTTAAAATGGCAGCCATTTTGAAATTCCAATATGGCGGCCAAGACGATATTGAAAAAAATGGACCCTTGCATTTTTGGATTCAGCATACCCAAAATATCCAGAAAATGCAATAAAATTGCTTTGGGCAAGCCTATCTCGCAAACCTGTTTTTTTGGACACTAGGTTTCTCACTAATAGGCCTGCCAGCTTCACGGTCTCTCTCAAAATGCTACATACATTGATTAAACAATAGTGAATGTACAATTTTTGTCTTGTTAAGAGGTAAAATTTGTTCTAAAAAATATGTTACAACTTAAAAAAATATTTTATTAAGTACAGTATAATATCTTATTTTATATAGATGAAGAAGATCCAAAGATTACTGGATGTCCTAGTGACATTACTCTGAATACTGATTCCAGTTTACCATATACTAATGCCACATGGATAGCTCCTAATGCCACAGATAATTCAGGGAATGTTACCTTAGTTTCTACACATGATTCTGGTGGTGGGTTTATATTGACAACTACAAAAAGTGTCCATAGCTCCTTTGATCTAAGCTGCCAGATGTTTTCCGCAGTGGCGTAACCACCGGGAGACAAGGGGAAAATATCCATCTGTGGAAAATCTTTCCCCACCCCTTGATAAATGCCCTTTTCACCCCTTGAAAGTGCCTAAAAATATCAAATTACACGCGCTTCATGCGTATTTCTTGTTAAAGTAGGCCAATTTCCTCTTAAAAATTGCAAATTTTTTTTGGGAGTTTCGATCAATTCTGACGAAATTAGAATTAAAAACTCAAAAACACTTAAAAAATATATTTTACTAAGTAATATTTTATTTTATTTTATAGATGAAGAAGATCCAAATATCATTGGATGTCCTAGTAAAATTACTGTGAATACTACTGCTATGTTACCATATGCTAATGTGACATGGATAGCTCCTAATGCCACAGATAATTCAGGGAATGTTACCTTAGTTTCTACACATGATTCTGGTGGTGGGTTTATATTGACAACTACGACTGTTGTGTACACCGCTACTGATCCATACGGTAACCAAGCAATTTGCTTCTTCAATATCACTGTATCAGGTGAGAAAAATTTGCATTTTCTCATAAATGAAAAAGATTTTATTTGGTAATTGTATGTATTACTATATTACATGGATTTTTATACATACATACATTGCTGACAATACAGTATGTTTGATTAATATCATTATACCATGAGTAAGTCATATCTGTTTTCGGTCTACAGCATGCTGTGGATGTCCAAAATGTAGCATTATATTAAGTTTTTCTGTGAGCCTGTGAGTTTGTGCATATGATGATTTTTTCTGTTCATTTCTTTTGTTGTATACCTATTTTTGTCATGATGTTATATATTTTTTCTCAATTTAAAAAAATTCTATATGCACATGTTTGTGCTCCTCTATTCTCTGATCTTTTTACTTTAATATTTTTTTTATCCAGTGTAAAAAATAGGAACAAGTTGTAATAATCGTATCAAGCATCTCATCAACGAAAAGTTCCTATTTGAGCGCAGTTATCATTATTTTTACTATTTGTTTCTATCGTGTTTACGGTGCTACGTAGCAACTTTGATTTGAAATATAAATATATATTCAAGGTTTATTTAACAAATTATTTCTCAATTACAGCAAAAGCTGAATTAGCACAATATTAACATCAAAAAATTACAACCACAAAAACAGAATAGGTCTATATACCAACGATAGCTCTATAGATATTGTGAAAACCAGGGAAGAATACCAAATCAATATACTAATCACGAAGGAAATTGGATACGACTTGCGTCAATCCACAAACAATCAATGAAAACTGGTTATAATAACGCGGCTTTTAAGGGGAAACTCTTTTGTCTATGATTTTGCCTTAACGTCGTTTAAGTTTCCCCTTAGCGACACTACTTTCTCCTTAAGGTACTGTTTTTAACCCTCTTCATTGTTAAGGCTTCCCCTTATGGATGGATCTATATATATTTAATTGATGTTGTTGATGTGGATCCACGTATGTCTCATCGTAAGAGTAAATAACGCAGACACAATAAACTGCTACGATACTTTGACTTGTAGGAGACATAGAAATATTTTTATTTGTGAAATTTTCGGCAACTCCTGTTACCTTCATCAGCACTTGTGTGTCTATGAGAAACTTAACAGAATATACCAAATTTCCCTATGCCTAACTACTAGTAGGCCTAGGCCTAGCTGTGCCTACCTTTGGATAAATTAATAATAGGCTCTAAAAGGTATAAGGCCTAGATATATCGTCATTGCCATAAAAACAGTCGGAAGAACGAAATGAATAAACAATACCATAAATGTTGGTCTCTGATTCCCCACAAGGGCCAGCGGGATAACCAAAAAGTAAAATAAATTACTGTCAAAGTGGATCTCCATCTGATATGGGGAATCAGAGAACAACAAAACACAAAGGAAATGTTTAAGGTTTTTGGTTTAATTTTTACATTTACAGTAATCCAGTGTTAGGCCCACTGAATTGTTTAAATAATTAAATCATTGAAAATATAATAGAATTTTACAGTAAAACTTATAAGATTATTTTTTAACACAGAATGAAATGGATAACATTTTATTTAAAAACAGATTTTACATAGACATAAGATGATTTAGATGCTGAATCATTAATAATAGTATATACCTATTGTATTTCTATAAATTAATCAACAAATATTTCGTTAATCAAACTATTGTAAATAAGCCTATTGAAGTATTATTCAAGTATTACTCTTCAAGTACTTAGCAATTATTATTATTATTATTATTATTATTATTATTATTATTATTATCATTAATGTTATTATTATAATTTTATAATTATTATTATATTTTAATTGTTTATCAACCATATTATAACATTGAAAATGTGAATCATGTGGATAAAATTATCATAGAAAATAAACCACCAACCTTCAATAATACGCAATATACCAGAGGCGATTAATGAACGACTTTCTAATATATCATCAAATGAAGAAGCCGTACCACCATCCCAAGAAGCACTCAGAGCGGGTATGACCATAAGATTAAATTTGAACCAACCCGCAAAGGAAACCAAAACAAACGAAATCGACAACGTAAAATCATCTGGTTCAGCCCACCATATAGCGATAATGTTTCAACCAACATAGGCCATATAAATTTCTATATCCATCATAAACCTATTATATTCCTATAAATTAATCAACAAATATTTCATTAATCAAACTATTGTAAATAGGCCTATTGAAGTATTATTCAAGTATTAGTCTTCAAGCACTTAAGCAATTATTATTATTATTATTATTATTATTATTATTATTAATGTTATTATTATTATAATTTTATACATTGTTTATCAACCATATTATAACAATTTAAAATGTGAATCATGTGGATAAAATTATCATAGAAAATAAACTTATAATTTTCCTAAACCTATAAATTACAGATTTAAAAAAGAGGTTTTGCATAGACGTAACTTGATTTAAAGTATTATTTTTTTTGTTTTATTCCTTGTTTTATTTATAATGGCCAAGGCCTAATATATATGTATATATTTAAAGTATAAATAATTATAATTAATTGTATTAATCAGTAGACCAAAGCCTACTATAGGCACAGTAGGCCTATATGATTATGAATAACATATTTTCCTATTCGAGCATTGTTATTATTCTTTTTTTATTTA